TAAATTGAAAGTCTCTCTGGATGGAGCCCTTCGTCGTCATTTGTTTGCGCTAGGCCAGTGACGGGTTACCTGCCTTCCTCTGTGCGTGTTTGTGTTGCCCGATTGAACGGATAAGAAAATATCGATACTTAAAGAGGCGGTCTGTTGTTTTATACAGCTAATGGGTTTTGTTGTGTTTTCTTTATCTTCACTTAGCTTTCTCTCTGTTGGTCCCGCGTTCGATTTTTGATTCTGTAGAGAAACAATTGTGAATCTACAGCAGAATGTGAAGATAAACAAAAACAAAACAATCTCCAAAAAATGTTCTTAATTCAACTTTTTTACAGCTGCCAGCACAAGAGTATATTTTTTTTGCATTTTCGCAGCGAAAGCTTAAACTCCTAGCTCCCAATACGCATCACCGAAAGCAGTTGTTTTCTTCCCAAAATGTCAGGGGTAATGAAGCAGCCAGCGTACAAAGTGCCCTGCTTAAGGTCCTTCTCAGTCTGATATCTTGATGCTTGCAAAGAGGTTTCTCTACTAAAATTCTGTATGCATTTCTTGCCTCTCCTATCCGTGTTACATGTCTATCCCATCGTAACTATGCCTACTTGATAATTATTTTTAACAATTCGGACAACAGACAAGGATGAGTGCTGATGCCAAAAACTTCTATAGGACGAAGAAATAATATCCATTCCCTTAGCTCCGAGGTAACACGTCTGTGATAAAGCAACGAGATATTAAACCAGGTATATTTCCTTACTATTAATTGTTTTTGTACAATTCCTGCAAACATGTGCCCAGTAGAGTTTACGTGAAATCTGAAACTTGTGCAGAGTTTAATCCTTTAAAACACGGTGGAACTTACATGTAAACCATCTAGTTTCAGATTAAAGAAACTTAATTTTGAAAACAGCGTTATTTATGAGTTTATTTTAGCGGCATTGTCAAATCCACCTTTTAAATGATAACGCGTTGTCATATTTTTGAGTTTTGGGACTGAATTTTAAACATTACATAGGTTAAATTCACACAAATGACGGAATAAATATTATGGGACTGTTATATTATTTTGTTTCAGTGCATCTGGTAGGTCCTGCAATCGGCCATCTCCGCAGAGGTTTTCATGGTCTCTGTATTTAACAAATACAACACCGTCCGTCCTTCTATCACGTCGATAAGATGGCAGGTCGTACAGACGTATCAATTCCAACGCGAATTACTCGTGCTGCCATCTATCTGTGACAAGATCTTCTTTTTAGTTTTATTTAGGTGGAACTTTAGGACAGCATTAAGGTTGCCCAACACCTTCTCAAAGAAATATAAGCATTTCTTCATGAACAGCAGCAAGTGGTTTCGATGCAAAGTAATTTCACACGCTTCCGCTCATGACTACATCAAAAGTATGGAAAAGTGTGGATGAGGCAACTCCAGTTGCAATTATAATTTCCAAAACAGTGAATTTTTTTGTTTTAAAAACTGCTTGTAAAATTAGTCGGCACTAACTACGGAAGTATACAGCAGGTTCAGTTTTATTTGAATGAATTGTACTTCCTCGTGGCAGACGCTAGAACATTATTACTCGCTTCTAGACTTCCGTTTGAAAATTTCACCGACCAAAACGTTTTGTGGCCACTGCACACGGGGTGGACCAGCTACTGATTTCATTTTGTTTCGTAGTGTGTGATTGTTAATGATTTGTATTTCTGCACGGACGGACGGACGGACGGACGCTCAGCCTTTAGTCAGCGTCTTTATTACTATAAACATTGTCGAAAAACTGAGGATAAGGGGCAAGTTTCTTTAAGTTTTGGTCTATTTTCATTATCTTATATTTCTCACTTTCTGCTAGCCTTGCGTTTTCGATGGGTCACTCAAGAAATACGAAAAACATGGCGCCCCTAAACCCTGTGTAAGAGGAGAATATTGCGCTTAACAATAACCTGATGTTCCAACGAAACTAACTTGGTATTTTCCTCTCGTAGTAAGTTACAGAACACTGCCAGCTTTATTAAATGAGTCACTGCTACATAAAGACCCAGTCTCTAGCTCCAGAACAGCGTAGCTCTGGCTATAATTCAACTCTACCATTGCTACCAACCCACATGACATGCAGTGGTGACACAACACCCAACGAATTCTGTAACACTGTCCCAGTACAATGAAACGCTGCTTTTTATTTATATTTTCTTTCCTGAACTGCAAGACTACTGCAGAAGTACATAAAGTGGCAATCAATAATTCTGCGTGAAGCCGCCAGGGAGCAGTAATAGCTTGAGCTGCCATATTTCGCGAGCGGTGTCACTGAGCGCAATGTTAGAATGGCTCTCGGGTGCCGTAATATTCATAACTTTAAACAGGCTGCAAAATAAAGTGCGGAGAAGATGTCGCAGTGGAAACTTCGGAATGCGCGATGTTGGGGGGGGAGTCTGTCTAGTGTTCGCTGCAATATTCACTGTAACAATGAGAAGTAAAACTGGAGATTCAACGTTGCTACTACCATAGACAGAAATTGGACAGGATTTTCCGCCAGTTCCATCCACCTCCCAACCCCAAAACCCCGTACCTTTGCAATATCCATCTCAATGTTATTCCCCCTTCTAACCGGTAGTCTTCAAAGTGGACGTTTTCAAATATCTGCTACTAAAATTTTGTATCCATGCCTTATCTCCTCGTCTTAACCACATTCTCAGTCCATCTTATTAACTAAGATTTCACCACCCTAACCATACAAGGTGATCCGTGAGAATCAGAAACCACCTCAGTTTGTAGCATCTTAAAATTTTCAACAACTCTATCTTTGATGACTGTCTTCTGAGTCGTTGTGCCGTGTAGTCTAATAAAGGTTTATCAACGTTTCAAAGGTCCTTGCTGTCTCCATCATCGTCCTGATAAAGGCGACAGCAAGGTCCCGTGAAACGTTGACAAACTTCTACCAGACTACACAACACTTTAACCCTGAAGACAGCCAGCCATCTTCGGACACCTTCAAATCTCACTTTCTAAACTCCAACTTTAGATCCAGGTTTACTATCGTTTTGCTGTTAAACACTAATAATTAATTATATTTCTTCAAAGTAAGAGACCATGTTCCACTCTTTCACTCAAACAAAGCTTCCGGAAAGTTGGTGTGAAGACAAACGCGACAAAGAGAACAGGGGTATCGCGGCCATGTTGGTCGCAGGTCTGTCACTATCGACTAAAGAGGACTGACAATAAGCACACGATGAGAGGCGTTATGGTATGGGCCTCGCACAAGGTCGTCTTTTTACTAGTTTGTAATTGCTAAGGCGTAGTATTAACTGAATATCTCAGTTTCCGATTTTCTGGGTACAGTAAACATTCAGCCACAGACACAATGTCTACAGTTAATGGACTCAAATCTAACTACCATCGTCAGAGCCAGCGCCTCATTTCTTGGAGTAAATATCCGTTTACGTTCATTTCAATTGGGACTCCTTTCATTGCTAATTGTTTTGACAGCAGAATCACGCTTTGCTTTACTTAATTTCTGCTTCAGAATTTCGTCGGCTGTAAATTTCTCTATCGCTGGAGGCTTTAAACTTTATATTCCTCAGACACGCATCAGAATTGTATAAATCTGTAAAACCCACAATGCATTTCTTTTAATATTGAAAAATAAGCCAAGTTTGTGTCAAAACGCTCAACAACATACTACTACGTGTTGTTCGGTCGGCAGGTCATGGAGACAAAGTTTTCAATATATTCAATGTACTCAGGCGAAACTCAGTCCAAATTTTAGACTGCCCCCCCCCCCCCCAAGCCGCAGATTTATAACAGCGCAGTTCAGGGTCCGTGCTGTTACAAGTTAGCAAAATGCTGAGGGTGTGTAAACCTCTTTAACCTTGAGTTTCAATGTCAACGTTATTGCGTCATCACGAATTGGCTTACGAATATCACAAGAAAGTCTACTTCATGTTTATTACAATAATGACTAACCTTTGCCAATGCTGTTTCAAATTACCCTAGAGGGACAGATTAAAAAGACGTTGCAAAGTTTGCTACGAGTCGTTTGTCCGGAACTTCTTGTTTTTTTAAACTACTATTTGCCAACACAATTACAGTGAGCTACTCTACCTGTTCTAATCTGGTACTGTAGAGAATTTACAAGGAAAAGTATTAAATTGTTACCTAGAAGTAAGAACAGAAGGAATCCATTCTGTGTTGTTTATATCAGTTCTTCAACCTCCACACACGAAAAATCTGGGTAAATCAAACACACTTCTTATTATCAGAAATGCACAAACGTTATAAACGCACAGAATGTTCAACGAAACGTATTCAACAACTTCTGATGCCATTAGATATCATTTTGAATAAAAAATGCTGCATCATCACATGTCCGGTTATCGATCGTTGCACCGCAATGAACATTCAGATACTGTACTGTATTAGAAATCAACCATCCCGTCGTACCCCACTACTCCCGCCACCACCTCACTCTATAGTTGCTGCGTGGTGGAACTACATCACGTGATTATCGGAAGACGAATGAGACAAATCTGCAAGGTCGTTGTCTTCCTAAGCCTAAGACGAGGTTACACATCGCTTTTTTAAAAAAGACGCTACTTCTGTAGGCTAAGACTTCTCTGCTCGGAAGATATCCAGAACGTTCTGTATAATTAAGTCTCAGAAACTACATTCTAGCATAAGTAAGCCTACGGTAACCGTTAACATGATCAATCATGCTTATCACAACACGATTTAATCATCGGAACAATGTTCATATTGGAAGATACCCAAGAACTTTAAGAATTTCTGTCAAGGCAAATTATTTTAAATATATTATATTCGTACAATATAATCTGAATTAAACTCTGAAAACTTCGCGCTGAACGCTGTGAATAACGTAGACTTCTATTCCTTTATAATTCCGTAAACTTTACTGTCATTTAAGAGCAAACAAATTAAACGCGTCTCAGTTTCCGTAATGAAATTTGGAAGAAACAATGCTTTTTTGTAATTTAGTAGCCTACGCCTAAAACGAGGTTACTTACCGTTTGGCTGGTTGAACATCCCTGAAACAAAGAGAAAACATTTTAAATGTTACCAGAATTAAATTACAGTGCACACATTCAAGATTAATGTTTCATACACCTGAAATACGAGGTAGGTAAAACATATAGGAAAACAGAGTAAAGTAAAGTAAAGTAAAGTTTGTCCCACTATACGCCATATAGGCGCTTGGGGGGAGTGGAGGTATAGCTCCTCTCTTCCTTGACCTCGGCACTAGATGGGGGTGAGTGGTCAGCATCACGCCCCGGCCGGCTTTACCCCCGGGAAAGGACCCCGGTACCCATTGTAGAGGAGGCTGGGTGGGCCCCAGAGCCGGTCTGGACGCAGAGGCTAGAGGAAAAATCCTGCCCCCATCGGGGATCGAACCCCGGTCGTCCAGCCCGTAGCTAGTCACTATACTGACTGAGCTATCCCGGCTCATGTAGGAAAACAGAGTAACATGATAAAATCTTAATGAAGTCGTAATCTCAGAATTGTGCAACTTTATTTTACTATCTGCAATTCGTAAAGTTGGTTAACTAATGTTAATTCATAAGAAACAACCTAATACAAAGTAGTATAACATTCAGTTACTGGTACAAGATTAACGAATAATTTCGTGGGTCTGGTTACAAGTAGTCTCGGGCCATATGTGGCCGCCAGTTGGACAACGCTGGCCAAAGATATATAACCGTGGCCTTAATTTGTTCTTAAACCCAACTTGATTGAATTTCTTGATATCTCCTTAGAACTTGACATTCGGTAATCAAAACTTTAGGCGCTCCTTCGCCTTGCTTCAACGGACAATTATTTTATAAAAAATTAATTCTCACTCTTTGTTCTCAAAAGTTTCTCATACTTCAGCAGTGTTGATTCATGTTTTTTACACAAATTACGAACTTAATGCAATTACCGGTGGCTGGAAGATACGCGTTGAAGTATGGACCCTGTGATGGTCTAAGCTGCTATCCAAGGAGTCGGTCGACGAATTTAAGAAAACCAGGAGATACTGACTATAATCAGGCTGAAGATTAAAAGATGAATACAAAGATACAATTTTCAACTTATAAGATTCTGCGGAAAATATATATATGCGCTAATCAACAGCGTCAATGTAGGTCACAAAACCAAAGTCGATCTCGGGACCTTTCGAAGAGTAGGCTAGTCCACCTTAATCGATAAATCAACTACTCTCAAAAACATCTGACTTCTCCTCTCCATTGACGTGGCTAGCTGGTCGTCCGAGGACGCTAGTGCAACTTTAATCTGTTTAGTTGGCATGTTTGCGCTGATCATAGTAACTGCGCACTTAAGATACGTGCAATTTTCGACTGCTCAGACACTGCAATCGAGTTTTCGAATCCCGAATTGGTCATGGAAACATGTCCATATTTTTATGTTATGCAACAAAAAATCCAAAAGATTAAATATTTTAGAATAATTTCCATTTGTAACAGAGTTCCTGGACGCTGAAGAAGACAAAAGTAAAGTTTACAGTCTTCTCAGAGGTGCTTACTACCTCCATCATCTGCGTAATGTGTTGCGCAGTGTAGTCTGGTTGGGTTGGGTTGGGTTAAGTTAGGTTAGATTAGGTTAGGTTAGGTGAGGTGAGGTGAGGTGAGGTGAGGTTAGGTTAGGTGAGGTTAGGTTACATTATGTTAGGTTAGGTTAGGTTAGGTGAGGTGAGGTTAGGTTAGGTTAGATTATGTTAGGTTAGGTGAGGTTAGGTTAGGTGAGGTGAGGTGAGTTTAGGTTAGGTTAGATTAAGTTATTTATTCAGGTGAGACCAGACTGCATAGCGCGAAGTAGCTGAAGGAACTTGGAATCTCTGGTGAAGAAGAATATTAACAAATATATTTATATAGTTAACATAAATCTAAGCCAATTTTACCACCAAGTTGATAAATCTGCTAAAACTGCTTTGCATGAAGCGGTAAACTATTTTGATCGCAGTGGGGAAGAATAAATCGCTTTACGGAGTCTCATCAATGAGCGCAGTCCGACATTCACAGGTGAAATAGCACAGTACGCAAAAAGCAAAAGCATAGAACTCTTATTATGAGTAAAATCTTTTAAGGGAATTACAGCAAGTTTATTCAGCAACGTGGTTTTCTTTTACCTATATTGCGGACACTTGTGGTTGGCATTAATGTAGCCACGAAATATTTAGCTGATACAGCAGTCCTTACAATAGGAAACTTCCTAAGGCAATCTCAGTTATAAATGCAAATATTTGTGCCCCGTCAACTCAACTAATATATCGTACCACGTATGAGATTATGAGCGGGGATAGCTCAGTCAGTATAGTGACTAGCTACGGGCTGGACGACCGGGGTTCGATCCCCGACGGGGGCAGAGGATTTTTCCTCTAGCCTCTGCGTCCAGACCGGCTCTGGGGCCCACCCAGCCTCTTCTATAATTGGTACCGGGGTCCTTTCCTGGGGGTAAAGCCGGCAGCGGCCACTCACCCCCATCTAGTGCCGAGGTCAAGGAAGAGAGGAGCTATACCACCTCCACTCACCCGAAACGCCTACATGGCTTATAGTGAGACAAACTTTACTTTTACATACGAGATTATTAACAACACGCGTAATATTATATAAACTCTATGTGTTTCAGCACATTGCCATTATGATATGTGTTTTGGATATGTTAATGTCAAATATCACTATTTGAAATACATATTTAACAGAATAGTGTGGTAGCATACTTGCAATTTATAATTTGCAAAGGCTAAAATTCTAAAATACAGTAAGAGTTTTAATAACCAGTAATAAAATAATAAATTTTATATAAGTTAAGACAAATGGTCGAAAATATGGTCAACTTTGATATTGCTGTATGTAGAATTTGAGATGTATCAAATGAAAAAAATATTTAGATATTACTCGATTGTGAAATTCATAAAACGGGTAATGTCATGTTTTAAGAAGTCGAAGAAGGATTCTATGATGAAGCGAGAAAAGATTATATTGTGAAAGTGAAAATCGTGAATGTGTCATCCAAAGTGAACTTAACACTGGTATCAAGACCAAGCTTAAAATAGCGGAGAATTTCTTTGCTAATGACTTCCTGTTGTGTAACTGTAGATAAGTAGTAAGTCTAATGTACGTGTATGTAGTAGGATTAGAAGTTCTCACGGCGCTGGGTTTGCACCATGTAGTTTGATAGAAGTTTACTGACGTTTCAGAGGTCCTTGCTGCCTCCATCATCAGGGTGATGGAGACAGCAAGGACTTCTGAAATATTGGTAAACTTGTATAAAAAGTGACAGTGGAACCACGGTTCCGGAGAATTCGACGTAAATACGTCTATACGGAAAGGAAGTTTATATATTGGCTTTATTCTAAATATTTCCTTTATACCCGCTTTACAATTGAGTAAAGTTTGATTAAGACTTTGCTTATTTAACTTGAATTAGTTACGCTTAAGATTGGTCTGTGGTAGCTGAATGTAATGTAAAGTAATGTAATGTAGGGTAAGGTAAGGTATGGTAATGTAATGTAAAGGAAGTTTATATGTTGGCTTTATTCTAAATATTTCCTTTATACATGCTTTACAATTGAGATAAGTTTGATTAAGGCATTGCTTATTTAACTTGAATTAATTACGCTTAAGATGGGTCTGTGGTAGATGAATGTAATGCAAAGTAATGTATTGTAATGTAATTTAATTTAATGTAATGTAATGTAATGTAACGTTTCCTAGGTAACAACAATGCCGAGTAAACACGACGTTCCCTAGGTAACCATTGTTATCGTTTCCCTTTTTCGTTTCCCTTTTTCGTTACACTTTTTTGCCGAATGAACCTTCTTTATAGACGTATTTACGTCAAAACAACACGGCGTTACAACCCAGAATACAGACATCTTTATGTGAATGCTTGGAATAAGTAGTAGTTCAACAGTGGTGTGTTTAAAGAATTTTCGCTTCCAGGAACATTATTAGGGGCTTTAGAAGAAGGCAGTCAAGCCAGAAACGCTGTATAGTATACAACATTCTGTATAATGCTGTAATTAATACAGAATAAGTTAGTAAGACATCACTTTAACTGCTCAGTCCGTGTCCGGCTAATGTTCTCAAGGGAACACGGACATGAGACCTAAATTGGTAGGAGTCGGTAAGAACAGCGGTAATACATAAGGAAATGCAGGCCACACCTTAATCACGTCGTTGGGGCGGCCTGGGTATTGTAACGCTGTGACACTGGAGTTCGCTTTTCATTTATATGAGAGCAAATGGCGTGCAGCACGCACGTGGCATTCCGTTGGAAATATTGCGCTTTCACTGGAACGATACGAAGTTCCGGACTTTGTTGGGACTGTGTGGTATAGATTCCAACGGCAATTATGCTTTCACTAAAAAGTTTTCAAATACCATCTTAATATTAAGTGCGAGATACGAAAACTATTATGTTTATTTTATTAAATAGTCTGATAAATATTATATCTACGCCAATAGTAGCTCAATGAAATGACGTATGTCTGTCTACTTTCTTCAGTAACTGGGATATTGGGAACGACCCGTTCTTCAAGTGCCTGAGCACTGCGGGTCCCAACTTTTCGTTGGCTTTGATCTATAGACATTCGGTAGGACTCCTTGGACGAGGGATCGGCCCGTCGCAAGGCCTCTACCTGTACACAGGACAGCACGACACAGAGACTCGGACAAACATCCATGGCTTGAGTGGGATTCGAACCCACGGTCCCAGCGACCAAGCGGCACAAGGCCCACGCCTCAGACCGCACGTCCACTGCGGACCCCTTCTTCAGTAACACAAGCTAATAACAGAATCCCATTTTTATAATTCTCCTTGAACTGTTGGTACTATTCAGCTGTTGAAGAAAGTTATTAAACCATGCAAAAATACTTTTTTAACCTATCGCGGGCTATCAATGAAGACTAAATCAAATCCTACCCAAGATCCACTTCAAATTCTCTTTCTATTGTTCCTAAGTTTCCAAAAAGTCTCTTCACTTCAGAATTTCCGACTAAAATTGGGTTATGAGTTTCTCATCTCTCAC